CTTACAATTTATGGGAGGGGAATACAAGACAAGACATGAGACAGTACATAAGTAAAAATAGAACACAACATTGTAGGTCATCTAGTCCAACCCCCTCCTCAAGCAACAGACCCTACACCTTTTCTGACAAATGGCAGTCCAATCTCTTGAAAGTCTCAAGTGATGAAGCTCCCACAACTTCCAAGGGCAATTGGTTGATTGCTCTCACTGTCAGAAAGTTCCTCCTTGTTTCTAGGTTGAATCTCTCCTTGTTCAGTTTCCATTCATTATTCCTTGTCTGGCCTTCGAGTACCTTGGAAAGTAGCTTGAGCCCCCTCTCTCTGTGGCAACCCCCCAAGTATTGGAAGACTGCTATCATGTCTCCCCTGGTCCTTCTCTTCACTAGACTAGCCATGCCCAGTTCCTGCAACCATTCATCATATGTTTTAGTGTCCAGTTCCCTAATCATCCTGGTAAGTCATTAGTTGAGGACTATCTGTATTTCTCAGAGTAATCAGTAATTTCATTTATGTGTAGGTAGCAACTCAGAAGTCAATCAAACATTCCTCAGTTTACTCCAATACTAAAATTAAAAATACTTTTTAATTTAATCCCTTAAATAGATTGTGCTGCCATTTTTCAGCAAAACTGTGGCTAAGCCAAGTTGGTTTGAGAAGTTAAAAAATTACATAAAACCACAACCACTCCCAAAAAATTAAATCCAGCAGATAAAAAAATTAAAATGTTGATGGAGAAGAGGGCTATTTTTTTGTTTTGCTGGGTCCAAAAAAAAACCCCATCATTGGCATGAGATGAATATTTGGGGGAGGACAGTTGAAAATCCCCTCTTGTGTTAAAACCTATTTGATTTTCACATGGAAGATATACCAAAAAGGCCATCAATGAAATCACCGAAAAAGCTAGATCAGATGGGTAATGTAAGAATAACTAGAATGTTATGTGGCATATTTTCTTTTACCTTAGTAAAGAGTAAAGCTGCATCCGCATACCTAATTAATTTAAACTACGTACATTGGAAAATGTCTTTCAACAAGCTTACCTGTGACATTTATAATGAAGTAGAAACTTTCACTGTCTGCAATCCTAACAGTGCAAGCATAAAGGCCAGAATCTCTGGGTGTCGTATCTTTAATCCACAGAGTCTCCCCAGTAATGACTGTCCGGTTATTGGGCACCAAACGTTTCCCATCTTTAGTCCAAGTGATGGTGGTGGCCTCTTTCACTTGACAGTGCAATGTCAACGTTTCTCCCGGAAGTACAGAACGTACGTCAGGCTGAGAGATTTGATATTTGGTGTGTGGCTCTGCTAAAGTGAAATAAAGGTGGGCAAAGAAGGGAAAGGAAGCAACAGAAGTGGGGGGGAAAAAATGTCCAACAGTTGTCAGTGAAAGAACTTGATCCAGCGAAGTATGTGCAGATTTTAAAACAATCATCATCATCATCATCATCATCATCATTTGATTTGATTTGATTTGATTACATTTATATGCCGCCCTTTTCCCCAAGGGGGACTCAGGGCGGCTCACAATTCNCAAGCTGTAACAGACATGGACAATGAAGAACAAGCCGGGCTGGCTACAAGATCAAAGGCAAAGCAACAAACAAATCTTGCTGATATATCAAAAATGCCTGTGAGGCAGAGGCACAGTGGTGTGTGGGATGGGGCTGGAGAGAATGCTGTTAAAGCAACATCTGACCGCTCAGCATCATTCCCTGGGGATGAGCAGCCTAAGCAGTGTGTGATAATGGGGGAAGTAACAGGAGCTAAGCCTCCATCAATTAACATGTCTGAAGCAAAAATGACAGAGCTAATTATAGGTGGGAGGTGAGTGGATGGGCCTATCATGTGTACAATGGCCAAATTGATCAATGATGTATAAAGGCAAATATCTCTTCAATGGTAGTTTCTACACTGATGATGTTAGCAGAGGCTAATGAAAGCTAAGTGGGTAATATACTGTATTTTAATATTTTAAGTTCTGGAGCTTGTGGTGTCTGTCTCTTCTTTTATAGCTGCCCCTGGAACTCATATTTTTAGTATAGTTATTTGGTGTGTGTGTGTGTGTGTGTGTGTGTGTGTGTGTGTGTGTGTGTGTGTGTGTACATGCGCACATGCATGCACACACACAAACACACATTAACAGTAGCACTCAGATTTATATACCACCTCATATTGCTTTATAGCACTTTCTGAGCTCTTTACAAATGTCAGCATGTTGCTCCCAAAAATCTGGGTCCTCATTTTATCAACCATGGAAGACGGAACACTGAATCAACCTTAAGCTGTTCAGGATCGAACTCCTAGCTGTGGGCAGAATTCACCTGCATTCTAAATACTGCGCCACCATGGCTGGTATACATACAAATAGTTTCATTGTTTGGTTTAGAGTTTTGTAAGGTATTCCAAAATTCAAACTTGGAAACCACATGTAAAACTATCTGCACAGAATTGCATTCTTTTTATAGCCATAGACTCACGGTATCGTTCATTTAGAGTTAGATTACATAAAAGTATTTAATTATGTGTGTTTTTCCATTTTTTTTTCCAGTTATTTGCATACAGAAAATCAAATAAAGGCCAAAATCAAAAGTTACAACTGTGGTATCCTCATCTTGCCGTTTATACATTTTTAACTAAGATTTCTGATTGGCTCAAAGAAATTTTAGAAATAATGCTTACTTTCTAGTAATATTAATTAATTCATCTTATATAAGTAACTATATATCACATTGTCGGTGGGAGTTTTTTAAAATTCAAGACATTATAAACAATATTTTCTTCCTTATTTTACATATTTTAATCTCATGCTTCCTTAGAAAAAGCTCAGGAGAGCTTACAGCAATGATAAAAATATTCTGAATGAGTTTAAAACAACACTTCTAATCCAACATCAAACCAAATGGGTTTTTTTTTAAAGCAGCACGAAATCATATACAATAGAGGTCTGAGAAATTATACAAAATCCAGAAATGATGAAAATCAGCTCAAACAGCTCGTTAATTGTTTTATTATCAATTTATGAAAGGTGTTAAAAAGAGGGTGAAATGTGATTTCCTTGGAAGACAGTTTCTATTTATTTCTATTTGATTCGGACTGTTAACATTTCATTGAGTTTCTTCTTTTGAAACTTGTCTGATTTGTCATATCAAAATAAAAGTCTGGAATCTCAAACATCAAAGGCCTCAACAACAACACTGTATTTTAGAGTAAAATCCAATATCACACAAACTCATTTAAGCATTGGGACTTTCTCCCAATCTACAGTCCCCCCCACCTCATGAAAATGTGAAATGTACTCTCATCTACATGGGGAGGACAAGGGGACAGGTATTAAAAATTGCATCCATGAACTAACTTATTTAGATTACACTCAATGTCCAGGAACTCTGCCACACCACCATGTATTTCATCTTCAAATCTAGCCTGGCAGAAACATAATCTAGGAACCCCACTATTCCCTACTGACTCTATGATCAGGGCCGGATTTTCCTATAGGCTAACTAGGCTTCAGCCTAGGGCCTCAAGATCAAGAGGGGCCTACAT